TTATTATTATTATTATTATTGTTATTATTATTATTATTATTATTATTATTATCATCATTTCTATCCATCAATACAATTATTTGAATTAGTTTTAGTATTATATTGCTTTTAATATTAATTATACGATTATAGAAGTTTACAGAAAACAATCTGAAATATTTTTGAACATATTAATGTGGAGTTTGAATAAAAGAAAAAATTCGTTCGTTTTCTCCGTCAAATGAATAATCTCTTAAATCCGAATGAAATTATTTTGCATGCGATAACAACGAAGTTGATAAAATAATTTCGGGTGTATTCAATCGGATGTTATTCGTATTACTTTCGGTGATGATTGCAGCAAAGTAACTTTAAGATGTGCGAACATTTGATTGTTGTGTTTTGTAATGGCTCTGAGTCGTCGCATGGCTGAAGGAGAAGAGAAGTATGGAGACATTTCAAATATCCGTCAAGCGGATACCGAAAGCGTGCAACGTTTCAACACATCAGATTAGCAGGTCTAGAAGAGACCAAGTAGAAAATGATGTAGCTAGAGTCAATCACTCTCGAATACAAATCATACCGTTCATACCATTCTACTTGTTTGCTCTGAATTGCGTTCATTCAAAACACCGAAGAAACCACTTTTGAGCACTTCAGTGGTATGTAGTCGCAGACTTACATTAATACTATGCTCGTTTCTCATAAAGACAGTTTGCCATTCAAAAACAAAGTGTTTTAGACGGCAATGGGTCGATGTGCCACTGCGTGTGTATGATGCAGAGCACATTACGGTAGTGATTTGCGAGTAAAGACAATGAATCTGACCAAAAGGTATTCTGCTCGGACAATGCCACTCAAACAAAAAATCCATTCCCCTCTAACATATGTGGAAGTGACAGTTCAGTTTCCTAAATATAATCACTACAGTCATATTGTAAACAAAGACAAAAAATGATCAAAAAGCATTCAAACATGAAAATGAACAAAAGGCAAACATGAGAATTCGTTCGGGCAATGCCACTCAAACAGTCTTGTAAAGAGAACTGACATAGAGAACTTGTAGAGTAATATCCGCAAGTATCATTGTTTTAAATGAACTAAGGTCATTTGGGGAAATGATTTTTGAAAAAAGTTCCGCAAAACACTCAAACTAAAGACGAATTCTGACAGAAATTCCCGGTACCTAAAAATTGTATCGTCATGTCATCTTACAGTTAATACGTTCATGAAACGAGGATGGGCTGCAGAGCAAGCAACCACAAGCTGTGGCTTATCCTTGCCTTCGTTTACCAACTCACTTAGCGTGGGATTTATCATGAGACTGAAGTCCACTTCCATTTCTATCGGCCTCAGAGCCACTGGACTACAGCTTATAGTGTTGCTCTCCTTCGCGAACATGTTCACTACAAGATTACCGTTTTCGTTTTCCCAATTGAGGTTTCGATCATACCATAGTTCCACATAATTACTTTTGAGATGAGATGAATTGGAGTGGCAAGGATTAAACTGAGGGTTTGTGTTATAGAGAGTGAAATCCTCAACAAAAAGTCCAATTGGCACAGTCCGAGCAAACTTTTGTGAATGCCTTTTGGCTATTTTCATTATCTGTGTTCACATGTCATTGCAATGATCAATTCACGGCGTATAGAAATCTTTTGTGTTCATTTGCATCGGTACTGAATCTTCTACATAGTGGCACTGTGCAAGCAAACTTCCTTTCAACATTATTTCACCATGTTCTATTGCATTTGAAATGGGCAATTAATTACTGGAGACGATATCCGACCGACATTCGCTTGACAAACTTCGGTTGGAATTCCGACGTTCAGGTTCCAACTGAAGAATTTCGAATTGTGAAAAATTAACTCGGTCGGATTCTGACAGAACTGATATTTCCCTCGGATGCCATCACTACTAGTAATTACCGTTCGCTTTTATTGCTTGTTAGAGTGCAGACAGGCCAGGGTGCGTTTGCGTAATGTAATGTGCGCGCGTTTATGTGCGCATTTAGTGCTGTCAAACCGTTTGAAACGCAGTAACGGCTTTTTTTTTGTCGCGCTGTGGTGTTTCGAATTGTTTCTGGTTGTCGAGACGTGGAAATTGTTTGGTTTGGGGAGATCTTTGTTGTTTCAGCTGGATTTTTAAATTGTTTAATAAGTGTTTGGAACGTTGGCTTAGTAGCAAAATAGTTGCCATCCATCCGCTTTGTGAATGTTATGCATAGATAATGCACAGCTTGGGTAACGTGGATGTATGATTGCATGTGCAGCGTGACCAGTTCCTCTAGAAGCAGCATCGTCAAGAGATCTATTCGGATTATTTTGAAGAAAACATCGGAGTTGTTTTCTTGTGATTGTATTGAGTATTCATGTTGTTGTTACTGTTCAGTTTATAGCATTACAAACTTGTTGCGAATCAGCCATTGTCATCTCGTCATCAAAAATGAGCAGCTTAGTCGATCTATCGCTGGACGAGATTATTTCACGAGACTCAAGACAGGTACGCGCTCCATTTAGTGCATTTTCAAGTCTCCTACTATCACGATCCGAATGGAGTGCTCCACTCATGTTGTACTGTATTATAGAAGAAAAAGGGTGGTGCCAGAAGACTTGCTAGTGGTCGATCGTCACGTCCTGTCCAGCGGCAACGTTCAAGCACCTTTGCACCAAAGTACCAGTCTCCCGACTCTGCATTCACAAAATCAAAGGTTTTCCAGAAAAATTCATTCTTTTTCAATCTATCTCTCGTATGGAACAATTGAAACAAGTAAAACCACATTCTATCACATAATATTTGCTGATGCCTAAAAGCCAATGTGTGTATTTGTGTACCGAACATGTAATGTCTGCATATATCGTCTTCTTGAAGTTTTTATGGTTGGTTTAAACTACCTCATCCGTTTATGGTTTCTGATGGGTATCACATTCATTCGTACTGTTTTTGATTTAGAATGTACCAACTGGAAAATGGGGTCACGATGGCTTTGAAGAGATGTATGGTGGTAATGCTGTGGCACGTAAAGAGTTCACGAAAGTACGTGCTGGTGGACGTTCATTTGAACGTGCTGCTTTGAGCCGAAAAGTGACCATTCACATCACCAATCTCGCACCAACAGTCACCTCAGATGACCTTAGTGTTAGTTCTTTCTTTGTTACGTTAATTCGTTTGCTTGATACAACTCCAAATCTTTTCATTTGAATAAACCAATGCATCATCTATTGAGGTTTGATGATGTAAATTTATTTGTGAGTAATGGGAGATAAAGATTGTTTTTTTTCACCGCTGTTAATGATCTGAATTTCGAGCTTGCAGCACTCGCACATATAGTGCAAAATGATCTTACAGGAATTGTTCGAGCAGTACGCAGTTGATTCGGCAGTGGTGAATTACGACGAAGCAGGACAGTCGGCCGGATCAGCCGATGTCATGACGGATCGCGCATCTGCTCAAGAAATAACCGCTAATTTCAGTGGTGTTGCAATAGATGGTTTGTTGCTTTCTGATCCACCTGTTGCTTTGGTTTTTTTAAAATATTTCTAGGTAACAGAAAGGTGCTGATCGACATAAGTCGCCTTAAGCAATTGAGGATAATGTTTTGTCAACGACTGGTTATTTGAATTGGAATTAATATGCATCTCATAGCAGTGAACATATTGGCGGACGGATGATCTATTTCAGGTCGTACAATGCGTATGTATATAATTGATGATCGTGAAGGTGGCGTCACTCGATCACGTTCTCTGAACGTCAAACAGCGTCTCAGTTTCAAGACAACACCGCTCAGAAGTCGTGGCATTAATAAACGCAGCAGCAGCGCACGTCCAGCATTCAGGGTATGTATTTATTTCATACTATCACTCATTTATCCTCTCTAATTTGCGAATGATCGTAATTTTTAGTTTTTTTCGTACTAATCATGTCTCTGTATCAAAATATTGCTTGTTTTCGGTTGTATCATTCGATGGAATGATTGGTTTGCTAATCGTAATGATTTCAAAATCGAGCAGTTATGTGCAAGAATCTTGTTACAGCTTGTTGTTTGTTTTTCAAATTCAAATGAGTGGTCGTTTGTTTTAAAATTGTTTCAAGCATATCATTTGAACGATTTGCATACACGTTGCTGTTGTTAAAGTTTGAAACTTTTCGCGCAAGGAAATGCGCTTTCGTTTCCTTATCGTATGATGTAAAGAATAGTCATTCAGTGTAAAATGCAAACAAACTGTTGTATTGCAGTCAGTTCGAGGCGGTGTACGTGGTGGCGCAACTAGTTGGAAAGGTAGCAGCAGAGGTCGAAAAGCGCAAACAAGTGATCCACGCAAGAAGATGACTGAAGCGGAATTGGACCGGGAATTAGATGAATATATGAAAAAAGGGGGTGGTAACGACGGAATGGAGGCTTGAGTACAATTGCTGGAACTACTGGGTTTCGTCTAAGATTTGATGGTGGTGAGGTGAGTGATACTTTGTTTTCATTTTTTGGTTTTGTTCCTTTCTGATTTTCAAAATCAGCGTTTCACATCGTATATAGGTCAGTTCCGTTTTCTTTGTGATTAGATTAAGGAACTGTTTGTCCTTCCATAAAAGGTAGATTACCAAGCGATTCCGAATTGGAGCGTTGTGCGAATGCTTATGGAATGAAACGCGATCGGTATTCTAAAATTTGCGACTGTTTGTAGTTCATTATTTGTTGAGCTGGCGAATTCGGTTTGCCAATCAGTTCGCATCGGAAAAAGATAGTTTGTGACGTTAGCTCGAGTTGCATCAATTTACTTCGGCGAATGTCTCTCGGAAGTTATTTTGAGCTAATAACATTTCAGTGGGTAATAGTGCACTGTTGATACGATGCAACGAAACAGTAACGATCAGCGACAAGTCGATCGTAGTTCTTCAATGTAAACTGCAACATAATCATCCTCATATTATTGTGGTTATGGTCAATGTCACTTTGACTATGCTTTATTTTGATATTTTATGCTTGTTATTTGTGTGTAACGGCGGTATCTTAGTTGATTCGTTATTGTTGTCACTGTTATGATTAGCTGTATAATGTTTCCCCCAACGATAATGACCATCGTCAGTGTCGTAATTGTTATTGCTATCGATCAGTCGTATGTAACCGATTTCCAATGGATTTTCAAATCAGTATTCTTCAGCGATTCCCGCAAATTTTATGCACGATTGCACACCATCAAAAGGCAATAGAACGACAAATAACAACTTGATTAATATCCATTCCCATAATATCGTGCACATCAGAGCAATGCGCTCACTCATCATTATGTTTCATTAAGTACCTCGTGAGTAATAATTTGTTGAGTTTGTTGTTATTTTCTTAAGTTGTCGATCTGATGTGGTTTCGTTTCATCCGTTAATTTATTTACTCATCCGTTTGTCTCTGTATGTTTTATTCATTCATTCAATTTGTCATAATTGAGTGACACTCTTATTTCTTATCATTAGTAACCATCAATCAATCGTCAGCATATGTACACTCACATTTATTCATTTATTTATCTATTCGTTTGTTTTTAAATTTATATTTTCTCGGTCGGTATGATGGTTGTCGTTATGTCATTTCATTTGCTGTGTTCATTTACTGAACAGTTATGCTGCTGCGTCACAGATTTTCGCCCCCACTAATATCATGGTCGTATATCATATTCGGTATGATGTATCTGATTTGTTATCAGAATTAATCAGTCACCTTTACACACTTATCATATCATCAGTCCGTGAATGGGTCCATTTATTTGTTCATAAATTCAAACAGCATAATTTATCAGCACTAAATTAAATTTTGTCCAGTGTTTTTTAGTTCTTCCTAAATTAGTTTTAAATATTCCCAGCCAGCTTCGATTGTGACAGTTTATGAAGTTCGCTGATGAAGGTGAACGGATGAAACTTAAGGAGTTGAGTTTCTTGTCAAGAGTTGGAAATTTTGACAGAGGGTTATCATAACAGTAGAAAAGGTTCTTGACAAATTAGGTTCGCTTGTTGTTGAATGTTGGGTTGATGCTGGTTTTTTTGCGTCTTGTTGATTGGTTGAATAATTTGATGGTGCACAACCCCTACGACGATTTTTTGTCGATTATTTCCAGATGAGGGAATCAATCCTTTCTTAGTGAACCTTAATGATATGAGTGTGTTGTGCTGCTGATTCTCTTACTGCTGCTGTTGCTTGTTTCTTATCACCGGAATACATTTTCATTTGTTTTAGTCTGTTTGTAATGTTATCAACCAACCTTTTTTTCATTCAAATTGACGAATCGTTACGGAATATTAGAGGCTTTCATTTGTTTTGAGTGTGGTTCAGTTTTTTGGGCAAACCAGTCGCCGAAAACCGTTAGAATTTACCGTGATATGGAATAACTGATATCAGTTATGGGATGACTTTATTAAAAAAAGGGAAATCGCTCGTCACCAACATGGACCCTATCCGAGCGATCTAGGAGATATGAACACGAAGGGACTGTTGAAGCGGTAGTATTACTAATTGACACAATCTTATGGCCGAACGAGCGGTTTTATGCACAAGATATTTCTTTGGGCTCACAATGAATATTCTTATTGTCAGTAGTCTAAGGACGGAAGGGTGTGGCTTAGCAAAGGGAATACGCGTGAACCATCGCATGGATGAAGACATTCTGCCATATCGCTTTGCACATTTACAATTTCTTCTTGCAGAATTGAAAGCAGTTCAAACTGACAATGAGTGAATAACCGTGTTCGCAGCAAATTGTGATCATGCAACGAGAAATAAACCCGCAGTATACACTCAGCGGAGACTGAGTATAGTTTGGGTTCATATCACAAATATATTCAGTTCACCTGAGGTGCTAATAGAACAATTGCATGCTAATACTGGCTGAAATGAATCCATATTGCACAGCATTCACAGAATTGCTCTACAGGTCAACTGCATACTAATAGCAGTTGAAGTGAGTCCATACTGCACGGTGTTGACCTGTTGTGTAGTATCGATCAAATACGACACCTATTTACTTTTGTGGGGGGGGGGGGGGGGGGGG